AGTTCTCAGGTACTTTCCCATATACCCAAAGGGAAAAACATAAATTGTGCCTATTTAAGAGAGCCACACCTTACACTTTAATGTCCTCAGTTGCGACATTAATAGAGGTCATTCAGCTCAAGCACTGAAGGCATTTGAACACAGTTCGTTTGCCCCAAAGTGCAGTCTCCCGCTGACCCAGGTGGTAAATCTTTGCCCAGCACCAGGTCAGGCCGTATGGGCAGGATTAGAGGAAGAAGTCAGTGAAGCAGAAAGTCCAGTTGCCCTCAGGGACATTACCCCTGTCTCGTTAGGTCAGCACAATACAATAACGGTTAGTCAGTGGCAGACAAGCAGGTCAGACGGGGGCGGTGGCTGCAGGAATTCGGAAGAAAGCAGCCACAAGTGAGGCTGTTAGGAGAGACTCTTTCCCGTCCCTTTCTGTTGTTCCTCCTTTCCAGGGAAGGTGTTTTCCTAGAGGCTGACCTGATATGTGGGTGTTGTATTCTCAGATGAATATCTGACAAAGCAGTGGAGGTATCCAATTGAGCTTCATGGGATTGGCAAATATGGCAACGACTCTTACCGAATTTTTTGTGTCAATGAGTGGAAGCAGGTAAGGCCCGTCTCCGGCACATCTTGTCTCTGAGGTAAAGTAAGTCCACCGTTATGGTTAGAACTATTTCTTGGACACACGTGCCATTACAGTCACAACCAGCTTTGTTCCAAGCTTGAGGGGCAGTGGTGGCTTGGGGTTATTGACAGCAGGAGAGGGTCCATAGATTTCCCCAAGTCCACAAAGACTCCCTGGTCTCTGACTGACCTTCTAGCGCTGTTCCTGTCATTTCCATTCATGTACTGTCTCTAGGCCTAATGTGGTTTTCCTCCTGTCACAGTCTACTCGCCTTCAAAAGCACACCACTGAAGGGAAGCAGGCAGGTGCAGGATTGGAGGGCATGCTTGTTGGGTTTCTTCTAGTGGTCTCAGACTATTTTTGTGGTACATGGGTCCTACTTCGCCTGCCCATTCTATTGAGTATGCCCAGCCCACGGGCTTCTGGGTGGCATCCTGGCAGACGATAAGCACTGCCACATAGCCTGTACACTGCCCTCTCAGTCTGTGACTTGCCCTAAAGCATTTAGCTGGGAGGTCTGGCCAAGCCCATCCCTGCTTCACCATTTATTGTGACCTGAGCAGTCCATTTAACTCTCAGGGTCTGTAAGCTCCTGGAAAATGGCATATTAATACTTGACTCATGTTATCACCACCCTCCACACTGAGTCCCAGTGAAGATCAGTACCAAATTGGAAAGTACTTTTTAAACTGTAAAGGATTGCTTTGATGTAAGCTATAATTTTAACCATTCATGAATCTCATTAGGGTAAAGGTTATCATTTTCAGGTATATTATCATAAGGTACTGTTCCCCCACCATATCTTTAAAAAGCCAATTTAAAAAATGTATTTCTGACTAACTTACATAAGGCCTCTGTCTCCTAATGTGTTGTATTTCTTCCAGGTACACCCTGAAGACCACAAGTTAAATAAATATCATGACTGGCTTTGGGAAAATCATGAAAAATTAAGTCTATCTTAAAACTCTTTGACGTTTTCAAGCTTGTTTTTATGCATTGCTTTGCACTTTGATTCTTAAAAGCTCCACTAAGCACAACCGCCTTTCCAGGTGTATAGATTCTAATCAGCCCAACTAGAAACCTAATGTGTGTCTTCTTAATGTGGGTACCACCGGAAGATCTTTGCTACTGAATGTGCTACGACATGTTCTGAGATTTTTTTAAAAAATAAATTGTTATTTGACAGCAATCCTGAAAATGTATATGACTTTTCCAATAATGAAATGTGATTTGAAGTTTAAAAAAACTTTCCTCAGTTATTAATAATATGAAGCAAATTTCTATCAGCCTTGCCTGAGGGAAGATTAGACCTCCTGTTGTCCTTCTATAGAAAATGATATCACACAATTGTTATATGAAGAAGCAAAGAGTTTTCAGCCACACATGTCAGAAAAGATATGATAGGGTAAATTAGGCAGTTAATTAATAAAGTATTTTTATTAAAAAACACTAACCTCCAAAGAAAAATAAGATTATTTTGTCATTCTGTGTCCTTGATGACTGTCTGCTGGCTTTTAGGAGTTGGAGATTTGACCGTTTGATAACCTAATGTGCATATATCTGCCTGTAGTTCTGTTGCAGAGTGTTGGCTTCTGGCTCACGCATTTACCTTGATCCCTGTGTGGAAACTCGAGCGTTTACCCATCTCCCATCTTCCAGCTGGAGGACAGGACCTTTTAAGTTTTATGCCTTTTTTTTTTTTTTTTTTTTTTTGTGGTACGCGGGCCTCTCACTGTTGTGGCCTCTCCTGTTGCGGAGCACAGGCTCTGGACGCGCAGGCTCAGCGGCCATGGCTCACGGGCCCAGCCACTCCACGGCATGTGGGATCTTCCCGGACCAGGGCACGAACACGTGTCCCCTGCATCGGCAGGCAGACTCTCAACCACTGCGCCACCAGGGAAGCCCTTATGCCATTTTTAAAACAGGTATTATAATGGTATAGCTCAAATACTGAAACATTTACTTTAGAAGGAACTCACAAAACAAACAAAAATCTAAGTTATTAAATCTCGATTATCCATTGTCATTTTAAGGCATAATTTGGAAATTAAGTTGATCGAATAAATGAAAAACAAATTGTTAGGGAAACTACCTCTGATATAGGGTAGAGTGTGAACAGAATCAGGATACAGTGTGCTGCAGAGCTAGTTGGTTGTTTCCACTATAGTGAGTGACATTCATTTTTTAGAGAAGGATGGATTTTGACCATCCTTCAAAATCCAGGAACAGGAAAACTGGCCACACACACACACACTTCCAAGGCAAACATCACTTCATAACCTCCCATCACGTTTTTATTTAACAGATATCAGAGTAGCATTCACTAAGTGCAAAGCTCTGTGCCAGGGAGGGGCACAAAGATGAAAAGGCTCTGTAGAGACCCTCATGGGAGAGAGGAGGGACAAGCAATAATGAAAGGTAACAAAAGGGGTAAGGTGTGGGGACAGGGTGCCCAACACTGCAGCAAAGAGTCCAGAGGGGCCCCTGCAACCCTGGCCGTACCTGGGGTCAGAGGGTAGGGCAGGCAGCAAGCTTGGGGCCTCAGGTGTGGTGTGGCAGTGGGACCTGCTGTCCAGTCCTGGCCCAGCATCTCCATCAAGACTGTGGGCCTGGGGGTGCAGCAGGGGAGCTGCGCAGCAGCCAGGCCAGGCTTTTCCCCTTTCCTGCAGGTGAGGTTGCCTGGCCTCTGTATCCGTTTCCTCATCTGTTGAGAATGGATCAGTGATGCCTACCTCACACAATTATGATTATTAATGTATGAAATTGCTTAAATGGAGCCTGGCTTAGAAAAGTGCTACATTAATGAGGCCCATAGGGATGGTCTGAGTGATGACCTCAGGTTGTTGAGAGGGTTACAAAAATAATGCGTTTCAGTAAGGATGGTACCTTATGCAGAGTAAGCACTCAAGTGTTTGGGTCTTTTCTAACTTCTTTATTTGAGACAAAATCCACATAACATAAAATTGATTTAACCATTTTTTAAAGTGTACAATTCAGTGGTTTTTAGCACATTCACAGTGTTGTGCAACCGTCATCACTAACTCCAAGATATTTCCATCACCCCAACAAGAAACCCCTTACCTATTAGCAGTCAAACCCAACGATCCCTCCCTCCCCCAGCCTCTGGCAACCACTCGTCTGCTTTCTGTGTCTATAGATTTGCCAGTTCTGGGCATTTCTTACAAATGGAATCATATAACCTGTGGCCTTTTGTATCTGGCTTCTTTCACTCAGTGTATTTTGAAGGTTCGTACGTGTTGCGGTATTACCGACCCAGGTTCTTAGACTCTAATCAACAGAAATTGATAAGAGGCCAGATGAGAAATTCAGGCAAGGCTTTATTGGAACTAGTGCTGCGGCAGGAGGGAGTGAAAACAAATAAGTTCCCTTGCTCGCTTCTTGGGTGGAGGGGGGTGAGCAGGTCCCTTAAATGGGGCAAGGGTAGAGGCTGACCCATGGGTCGGGCTGGAGGGGGGGCTTAGGTGGTCTGCCCACCCCCCTCGTGGTGCTGTGTGCAGGGGGCCTGCGCAGCACCCTGCTTTTGCTCCCCACGCCTCAGAAGCGGCCGTTGGGTTTTGGTCTTTTTGTATCATGTTGTTCATAATTGGCCACAACTGCACATAGGTGCAGTTATTTTTCATCCCTCATATAGTTTCTTACTCGAGGAGACACTGGTCCAGGTGTAAGCACTGCCGCAAAAGGTGCCAGGTGCCAGCCTGTCTCAGCAGCATGCGTCAATACCTCATTCGTTTTTATGACTAAATAATACAACGTCGTTTGGATAGACCACCTTTTGTCTATCCATTCATCAGTCAATGGACATTTCAAATATTATTAATACTCCAGTTCTCAGGTTCTATAATTCCAAACCATGGCACCCTGTCTTTCAGGGACAAAGCATACCAAAAACACTGCCTCTATTTGGCCACGACTCTCTCCTCTCTCGGGTTACCTCTGGAGGAGGGAGCGCCTGTTCTTTGGGTGAGAACACAGCCCTAAATATGTAGAGACCTGCTGAAGACCCTACGGCTTACAGGAAAACCTGGGATTTATTACTCCAGATTCAAGGGCCACTGGGCCAACCTAAGAAATACTGTCTTTTGCGGAGCTGGATGCTCTGCACCATTTCCTCGCGGCTTACTCCAAGTCCCCTCCCAGGACCCTCGAAGGGAGCGAGACTGTCGGGGTCTCCCCCTCGGGCGGATCCTCTCCCCGCGGGCCTCCGGCCACGTGGCGGCATCCAGCCAATCAGCGCGGGGCGTCCGTAGTCTCGGCAACAGTTGCGTCCAAGCTCTGCAAGTCACGGGTCTCTTGCAAACTTGGTATTACTGTTTTTCTGGTACCCCATACCCCCGCGCAAGCAAGCACACACAGACACACACGCACGTTCACACACTCTTTTCAGCACCCGCTTCCGGCGCCGCGACCATGGACTATTCTGAAGAGTACGAGGCTGTGTTCCGGTCTCTGCTCCGTAAGTTCACCCTAAGCTCCCAGGAATCAACGCCAGCTCCAGGAAGCCCTCAACCCCCGGGTGGACGGGTACAAGTGGGGTGAGGACTACGACAGGGACGGATACCTCATTGTGTCGTCCTCTCTCTGGGTGCGGGGTTGCCAGGGAATCGAGGGCAGGTCGTGCATGTTTCTCAGATTTCCTTGCCCGGGCTGGAGGAGCAGGCCGAGTTGCTTTGGCTTGGAACCAGCGGCCCAACCCATGGGCCCGGGAAAGGTGTCCAGGCCCTCTGGCTGGCCCTACTTCTTCGCTAGACATTAGTGTGTTCAGTATGGGAGAAGAGGCATGGAGAAGACCAGCAGTCTTCAAAAATTTTGGTGATAGCCTGCTGTCTTTGACAAGCGCTGCAACTTCAGAGGTGAAAACCAGATAAATGGATACTTACAGAAGAAGGGTCCAGGGGTGACACCCAGGAGTAAGAGGTCTGCTAAGTGCAGAGGATGGGGAGGAATGGTTCCAAGGTCCTGGAGAGCTCTGTACACTGGAGCTTCAATTAAGGATACAAGGAGTTATCCAAGCCAAAAGGGGGAGGAAAGGTATTCCAGACCAAGGGAACAGCATGCACAGAGGCCCAGAGACATGGGGTCTTCAGAAAACTGCTGGTAGTTTGAGTGTTGCTGGAGATGAGAGGCAAGAGGGGTCAGAAGGGACAAGATCAGGAGAGATCTTGCGAGCCAGGAGATGGGGAGGCCACTGAGAATGACAGGATTGGATTGGGAGCATCAGCAAATGCAGAGTCTGACTTGGCAAACTCACAATGTTGGGAGTGGGGCGATCTGGGACTGTCCCAAATTCCCAGGCCAAAGACACTGGGAGGTGAGGGAAAGGTGCCAGGCTAGAGGGGGCTGATTGGATGGGGAACTTGGAAAGAGTTCAGTCTTGGTTGGGTTGGAGATCCTTGTAGGCCGTACAAGTTGAGATGCTTTAGGAGCAACTGTATGTAGAAAGTTGGAGCTAATTCCAAGTCATAAATATGGGTATGGGTGTCCTCTGCATATGGAGGGCCATAGAAATGAGAGTGGAGGAGAGTGTTTGGGGGAAAAAAAAAAAAAGAGTGCCCAAGTGTAAGCCTGGAGACTATCTACATTTTAGGAGTGGGTAGGAAAAGAGAAGCCAAGAACAAGTGGCCAGAGAGGTAGGATGGAACTTAGGGAGAGATTTGTATCAGAAGCCAAGAGAAAAGGAGAGAATTTCAAGGAAGTATTGAATTGTCTCCAGACACCTGAAGGGCTGTCCCAGAAAAGAGGGAACAAATGTGTTTTCTGGGGCATCGGTGGGAGAGGACTAGGACCAAGGGTCGTAGAAATTCCAGGGAAACAAATTCTGGGTCAATATAAAGAAGTCTTTTCTAGCAGTTAGAATTAGGCACTCACAATGTTAAGTAGAGAACACCCTGTCACTGGAGGTATACAAACAGGCAAAGTCCGCAGGGGCGTTGTAGAAAGAGTTCCCTGACCTGGGCAGGCAATGGGACTAGTTGGCCGCTGAGAGCTTGCCTCATTAATCCCTGGGGAACATTTTCACACAGGCTCTACCCACAACCACATGGTGACCTCTTTTATTCGAAGAGCCCGCCTCACTTTTCTATCAACGGACAGAGGACCCCAAAGACTACTAGAATGCAAGCTTGGTGGGCCTGCAGCCTTCACTATGGAAGGGAAGGAGCGTAGGGGGAGGTTAGGGAGGAAACAGGAACCGAGTCCCAGCAAGGTAGCTTTGCAGGCCATTGTGAAAGAGCGTCGTTTACTCTAAGAGCAGGAGAAGCCATTTCAGTGAAGCCATTGCAGGGTTTCAGAGGGGGAAGGGATGCCTCTGGCTAAAGGCAGATCATGGATTTGGGGTCTAGGGGGCGCACAGTGAGGAGCATGTTTTGAATGCGTTCGAGTACAGTTTAAACCCCTGAACCTGGTGCTGGAGGTCACTCCAACTGTATTTTCTTCCATTAGCCTCCTCCTTCACACACAATGCGCTTCTAACTTGTGAAACAGTTTAGTAACCCTGAAGTCCCTCAACGCCACCCTGATCGATCCCCATGCTGGCCCCTCTATCCCTTGAAACCCAACTCCTTCTGAAAGCACACTCAACGTTCCCTACCGCACGATGACCTCCCAGATCCCTCGGTCAGCGTCTCTCCCCTGACTGAAACCACCTTGTAACCCCTCTGGTTACCCCACCTTGTTCTGTGCCAGCACACTGCCTGTTGGGCACCCAGCCAGTACCAAGCACTGGGTAACTTTCAGTAAATGCTGGTTTGATGAATGGCTAAATTTTCAGTCGTACCAAACATTTTGTCCTCAAAGAAATGATAAATGGGTTGTTGAGAAGTACTTACTTCTGTCCACATTGATGTATACACACTTTAATTATTTTCTGACTATGAAAGGAATACATGGGCATTGTAAAGGGACTTAACAAATGTACTGACTGTTCACTTTGTGCCAGGCTGGGTACCAGGGACGCACAGGAAGTAAGACACAGTTCTCGCCATTGGGAAACTCACAGGCTGTTGGGAAAGAAAAGTATCTTCATCCAGAAAAATATGGTAAATGCTATGAGGGGGCTAAGCATAGGGGCTATGGGGACCAAGAGGGGGACGAGGGAGAGCCTGGGGTGCTTCAGGCGACCGTAATGCCTGAGCTGAGCCTCAAAGGCTAGGTAGGGAATAGTCAAGTGAACAGGGGAGAGACAGAAGCATGTTTCAAAGACAGGAAAGAGCACAGTTTGGGGGGGGCAGGAGGGGGGAACTACGGAACCACAGTCAGCTTAGTTTGGGTACAAATACAAGGTGAGGCAGAAGGAATGAGAGAAGGAGCTGGAGAAATTAGAGGGGTTGGCAGGGGTGGGTGGGACAGGTGGGGCTAAGTTAAGGAGATTGAACTTTATTCTAGAGGCAGCTGGGAGCAATAGAAGGGTTTTAAGCAGGAGAGTTTGGGTTTTAGAAGGAAAATGATGGTGACAATATTTTTAATAATAATGCTGTATCCCTTCTGAATTTCAGAACATTCCCACACCTGTTATTCATTTGATCTTCATAATAGCTTCGGGAGGTTGCTAGAGGAGAGTTTATATCATTTTAGGCATAAAAGAATTGAGACTCAGCAGGATTAGGTGACAGCCTGGGGTAATACCAAGTAATGGCTAAGAGTTGAGCTCTGGGGCCAGACAAACCAAATTCATGTCCCAGCTCTGCTGCTAATCAACTGTGTGACCTTGGGCCTGTCTGGGCCTCGGTGTCCTTACCTGTAAAAATGGGTGTCAATCATGATGCCAACCTGTTACGTCTGTCCACTTGCCATTCACTCACTCACCAGATATCTACTGAGCTCCCACTATATGCTGGCACCGTGGAGGTGCTGGGACTCCATCAGGGAACAAGAGAGATGAGATCTCGGTTCACAGGGTATTGGAAAAACATAAACCAAATAATTGCACCAGAGGTTTCAAATGCAACTGTCTGCCTGCACCAAGCCCTTACTGAATGAAATGAGCCGCATGTGAGACGATAGGGAATGGCGAGGCCTATGGCAAGCTGCAGAGCGCATGCCCCAGCCTAACGCAATGCAAACTGGAAAAGTTTAAGTAAACAAGTATGTCAAGCAGAACAGGACCCTAAGCCTCATTCAGTATGAGGGCTGCCAGTGTGCAACCCTTGATTTACATACTTACGATAAGTGGTCTGAAGGAAAAGTACAGAGATAACATGAGAATACAACACAGCCTGAAGCTGGAGAGTGAACATTTGGTCTGACACGTGGAGAATGAGGAGGAGCGAGGAGGCGATGGATGGGGGAGGGAGCATTCCTGGCAGGGGGAGCAGCGTGTGCGGAACCCTTAGGCAGGATGGGGCTTGGATCATTCAGGGAACAGAGAGAACGCCAAGACGTCTGGACAGGGTAAGGAAAGACAGGCAAGTGATGAGGCAGGAAAGGTTGGCGGAGGAGGGTCATGGGACTTTATTTTGAGGACTGTGAAAAGTCATGGAAGTATTTCAAAATGGGGGGAGGGTAAGTATATAAAAAAATAATAACAGTGCACTTATTATGAACAAGCTGGACTGATCCTAAACATCTCCACCACTCAATAAGGTAGGTACCATCATTATCCCCATTTTACAGATGAAAAAATTGAGACCCTGCAAGGATAAGTGATCATGGCCCCAGTAAGCGGCAGGGCCGGAACTCAGACCGGAGCGTTCTGGCTGCAAAGCCTCTGCGCTTTACGGCACTAGGCTGCCTCAGTTGATCAGACCAGATCAGAATGGCATTTTAAAAAGATCACTCTGATTGCCAAGGAGTACTGGGGGCGGGGGGGGGGGGGGGGGGGGAGTAAGATTAGAATCTAAGAAGTTTCATGAGAATGCATATAAATCTCTTAGCATAGTGCCTGCCGTTGGGATTGCCCAGTCACGTTAGTTGTAATTATTTTCATCATCATAGCAAGGCAACAATAACGCCAGGCCTGGAACCCAGGTGCCCTGATGCCCAGCCTGGTGCTGAAGCATGTCTCCTTCCTGACTCCTTTGGTCCTCTTCCTGAAAGGAACTCACCTTCTAACCCTCTTCCAGGGTTGTACCAGTCTGAGTCCTTGGTTGACGATGGAAGTGCCAGCAAGGAGCTCGTGTTCAACCCTGACGCGGTCATCGCCCACTGCTTCAAGCAGTTCAAGCGGGAGGACTTCCACCTGCCTCAGAGCCGCCGGAGGATCATCTTCTTGCCTCGAAAGGAGGCTCTGATGCCCATCAATCCCACCCCCCACCCCCCGGCTCCCTCCGAGCCCACCCCCAGCTCCAAAGCCCTGGAAGTTGGGGACATCCAAGAACAGCCAGAAGACCCAAGGGCCTGGCTGACCCAGAGGCTGAGGGTTCGGCAGGACCTGGAGTCATTTGGCAGCATAGAGAGGTGGCTGCAGAACAAGTCCAGACTCACGCCTTCGGAGGCCAAGGTCCTACACGAGAGCCACAAGGAGTGCGAGGCCCGGCTGATGGGCCAGCTGGCCACTCCCAGAGACACCGAGGTGAGCAGCCCCATTTGCCAGATGCAGACACTTCGGGTGTTAGGGGCATGCTGTCATTTCACTCCCTTGAATTAAGCAGGATGGGGATCTTTTACCCCCACCCCCACCCACCATCCCCCTCCCAGTCCCAGGGGAGCAAACAGAAGTCCTAAAAAGGTGTATTTGTTATCTATTGCTGCATAACAAATACCCCCAAGGTGACTTAGAGCAACAGATGTTCATTATGTCACTGCTTCTGAGAATGAGGAAGCTGGGAGGAGCTTAGCTGGATGGCACTGGCTCAAGCTCTCATCTCAAGATGCTGGCCTGGGCCACAGACACCTGAAGGCTTGACTGGGCAGGATGACCTGCTTCCAAGCTGGCTGCTGGCAGGAGGCCTCAGTTCCTGGCCACATGGGCCTCTCCTAGGGCTGCTCGAGTGTCCTAACCACAAGGCAGCCGGCTTCCCCCAGAGCGAACAGTCCAAGAGAGCAAGGAGGAGGCTGCAATGCCTTTTATAACCTCATCTCAGGAGGTCTCAGTTTCAGAAGTTTCACACCATCACTTCCACTACAGTCTGTTTTTCAGGAGCAAGTCACTAAATACTGCCCACATTCGAGGGGAAGGGGGTTGAGCTCCACCTTAAAAGGGAGGACGGTTGAAGAATTTGTGACCATATCTTAAAACCACCCCGGGAGGAATCATCCCTGGCATTCATCTGTGGGGCATTTTGAATACTCACTGTTCATTCATTGGTTCATTCATTTGTTGAGGGACTATATGTGCCAGCAGGTGCTCACAGGGCTACTGTGGGGATCACAGCTGGGAGGTTGGAAGAAAATTTTTTATAAATTTGTATATGTATTTATATATATTATACATATAAGTCCCTTTTATAAATATGAAAATAGAAGCTCAGTGAGGCCATACATTGTCCAAGCCCATAGGGATAGTAAATGGCAGTCAGTAACCAAAGCTCTCATCTTCCAACTCTTTGCAATACAGACACTGTATGGGACATCTCCTTACGATACAGACACTTGAAATTTCTCCCAGTTCAGGTAAAGCTGGCATAAGAGGTCAGGTAACTTGGGTTTAAACCCAGCTCTGCTCCTTCCTAGCTGTATGATCTGGGCCTTAGTTTCCTCAGCTGTTCAGTGGGGATAACCATTGTGCCTGCTTCCTAGGGCCACTGTGACATCTAAGTGGACTCATTTATATATGGCGCCTGAGACAGTGCTGAGCGTATCGTGAGCACTCAATAAATGTTTGCCATTTTTATTATTGTTGCAGACTTACTGATGTCATCTGGGTTGGCCCCCAAACTTCAGAGTCAGTCCTTGGTGTAATCATGGTCAAAAGCCAACTTTCATGGGTCCAGCACACGCTTTCCTGCCAGCAGCACAGCATCTAGGTATAAGCACAGGTCTTGGGTTCGAAACCCAGCTCCACCGCTTACCTGCTGTGTGAGCCCGGGGAGGTCACTTCACCTCTCAGCCTGTTTCTTCATTTGTAAAAAAAGGGAAACTAATACCTAATACCGAATTCACAGCATTGTTTTCTTCATTCAGCAAACCATCACTGCCTACCTGCAGAGGGCTGGGGGCTTTGTTGAGTACAAGGATAGGAGGTGGGGTATGTAGCTAAATAAGACATGGTCGTGCTCTCAAGGTGTTCCCATGCTAGCGGCAGAGGTGGACAGAGCAGATTAAGGACTCTACAGTTTGCCACAGGCCATGAATAGACTCTAATACCCTGAGGGGCTATAAGCTAGGGAACAGCAAGGCCCTTTGTAAACTGTCAAGTGCTGCACCAAAGTAAAGGAACATTATTCCTAAGTACAGTCTCCCTCGGCATCTGTTGGGGGGAACCCCACAGATACCAACATCTGAAGATGCCCAAGTCCCGTATATAAAAGGGCAGAGTATTTGTATATAATCCCCAAGCATCCTCCCGTATAAGGAGGATAAATCATATCTAGATTACTTAGAATACCTAATATAACGTAAATGCCATATAAATACAATGTAAATTTTATGTAAATAGTTGACAGCCAACAGCCATGACAAATTCAAGTTTTGCTTTTTGGAACCTTCTGGAATTTTGGGGGGGAATATTTTCTATCTGTGGTTGGTTAAATCCGTGGATGTGGAGCCCGTGGACCCGGAGGGCTAACTGCATTCCCGTTCACCTGGAAATGGAGGAGTAGGATTTGGATAGGAAGAGAAAGAAGGAGAGGTGTTCCAGGCAGGAGGCCCAGAAGGGGCAGAGGCTGGGAGGTGAGGGCAGCAGCAGTAGGAAGCTCCGGGCTGGGGCATGAATGTGCACCGAGAGCCCAGTGCAATTATAATACTGACTGGTCTGACAGGAGAGATGTGGATAAGAATAAAGTTTTACTTCTCATATTGTCCAAGCCTCTTGTTTCTTATGGGAAATTGGAGGCCCAGAGAAGCCAGATCCCCCAGGCGTCCTGTGGCAGGACGCACCTGTCGGAATCCAGCGCTCCTTGCCCTCCCCCTTGCTGTCTGTTCAGGGTGGCTCAGACTCTCTCTCTCCCATTTCTAACTCTGGGGATCTAGCTCCATCGGCCTGTCTCCCCCAAACTCTCCCCTCTACCCCACTCTCTTGCCTTTTTCAGAAGAAAAGCCCGCGACCCCTCCACCGGCAGGTGCCCCAGCTACAACTGCCCAAACCCTCTGCCCTGTCGGCCTTGTACTCTTACCTGTGCAGCCACAAGATCAAGATCCAGGAGATATTTCACAAGGTGGAGCAGGGCAAGAAACAGAGGATCTCCAGGGAGGAGTTCATCACGGCTCTGAAGGCGGCGGTAAGCGCCTCCCCCGCCCCCGAGGCTGGCCTGACTGGGGGATGGAGGGCGCCCATGCACCACCCTCCCCCCCGCTGCCCCCTCCCCAGATCCTGCTCCGACTATCAGCCGTATTACTTATAAAGCCGCACTGGTATACGTGGCTTAACCTGAGGCCCCATCAGACCCCTAAGGCCACCCTGCACCTATCTGACCTTGAAAGGCCCTAGCTGAGTGGGAAGTCTGTGGAGTCAGCCCCATAACCCGCCAGCTGCTTGGGGAATCACCCCAGAACTGAGCACAGAGAGAGCTGGGCCTTCAGTCCTGCCTCTAGAACCTTCTAGAACTTCTGGAACCGTCATTGGCATATGACTCACCCGGGGTCTTGTTAAAATGCAGCTTCTCTCTCAGCTTCCATCTTGTTAAAATGCAGCTTCTTGTTAAAACGCAGTGGAAGCGCGGAGTCCTAACCACTGGACCGCCAGGGAAGGCCCCCAAGATGCTGCATTCTAACAAGCTCCCAGCGATGCCTGTGGTACAGGTCCACGGACCACACTTTCACAGGTTATTCAAAAATTCAAATTAGTTGTAAATAAATAAAAATCCAGTTCCTCAGTCACAGCAGCTACAGTTGGAGTGCTCAATAGTCACATGTGGTGAGAGGTTCCTCCACTGGATCCCTCAGACATAGAACATTCCCCTCATCCCTTCTGTCGGTCTAGCAGAGGTTTGCTAACTATGGCCCAGGAGTCAAATCCAGCCAGTCTCTTGTTTTTGTAAAGAAAGGTTTTTTTCCTGTAAATAAAGTTTTATTGGAACACAGCTACACTCATTATTCTACATATCGTCATGGCTGCTTTCATGCTAGGAGGGCAGAGTCGAGTAGTGACGACAGAGATCACGTGGCTCCCAGAGCCTAAAAATATTTACTATCTGGCCCTTTCCAGAAAAAGTTTGCCGACTCCTGGTCTGGGTGAATTAAGCTTTTATATATTTTGAATACAAGATAGCTTTTAAAAAAACTTTAGGAAGGGGAATGCTACATCTTTTATGGTCTTAAATCATCACCAGTTTTCCCACTATCATTTTATGACGTGTAATTATCGAAACAACATTTGAAAGCATTTAAAACAACAACAAATAAAGGGTTGTTAATCAATGTAACCCAAAGGATAAAACATTAAATCCTTTAGCACCAGGTGAGTTCTGATCTTCTTTAAGTAAAGCTCAGTGAATAACATCTACAGTCTAAAGAAGCTGACGAAGTTGTGTTTCCTTTAAAACTTTTCTTCTTGAATATTCGATATTGCTGGCAAGCATTTTACTTCTCTGAAGTTGCTCACCATCCTTAAAGGAGTAATGTGTATCAGATTTCCGATTCTTTTTTACTTCAGTTCAGGGAGGCTTATGTGTCCCTCATGGACAGGGATGACAGACGTAAAATCCTTCTTCCAGCCCAGCACAGGAAGGCTGTCATTGAGATTGGAATGGAGTGGGGAGGGAGGCCAGAGGAAGAAGTAACAGACTCTGCAAAGATGACGATATGTCTGGACTGGGTTTTGAAGGAGGGATAGGAGTTTTTCAGGCAGGAAGTGGGAAATGTCTGAGTAAAGGCAGAGGGTGAGAACGTGTAGGGTGTGTTCAGGGCCCCGGGGAAGGGCTCTGAGCTCCTGGGCAGAGACCTTGGGTGTGAGCTGGGAGTGGCTGAGGATGAAACTAGACGGGGAGGTGAGGCCAGGCTGGCTGTCCTGGCAGGACGTTTGGAGCTTGCCCGCCCGCCTTGGGGCTTCTCTTCTCTCCTCAGGTTGGAGTCCCTCTGAAAAGCCAGGAGGTGGAGGACATCGTGATCTGTCTCAGCTCTCTGGGAAAGCACAACAGCATCACTGTGGATAACCTGGCCAGCACCTGCAAGCAGTGGTCTTCGGCTCAGCAGAAAAGCACCCTGGCGACTGCAACAGAGTGTGCGTATCCACCTCCACCCCCGTGTCTCCACGGGGGTGGGGGGACCTCCTCGCCCTCCCTGAGGTCATGTAAAAGCCCTGGGAGGGCAGCAGAGGGGTTTCCTTACGGAGGTGAAGATTTGGGCGGGGTCTCTGGAGTTCAAGGTTACACGGAGCTGGGTGCTTAGCGTCCTCACGGGTAGGTTCTTTTAGAGACGCCTTGCTTAGTGCATCCCCTCCTCAGTCCCACAGGGTAGCGAGATTTCTGACCTCAGGTCTCAACAAGCCTCCAGGCCGAGACACCGTCACCCCAGGCACAGTCTCCGTCCCTCTCAGAACCCCAGGGAACCTGAGTGCCCCCACTGTAATGAGATCCTGTACCCTTTGTGTCTGGTGCATCCTTGAGGTCTCCTCGAGCTGGGTGGGCTTTCCCACCCACACTCTTTTTGCCTTGTCATTATGCATTACCAAAGCTTATCGTTATCCGCGTAGTTGGGTGCAAGTTATTTGGTGAATGATCAGAGTGCCCCAGACACAAACGTGCTGGTACACGTTTGCAGCAAAGGTATTTGGGACCTATTATTCCCTAAGAGCCAAGAGCAGGTATCTGCTTGGCCGGTGCTATCTCAGTGTCCTCACTGAGTTCCTTTTCCCTGGAGAGCAGCAGTGGGTAAGGTAAGCGGACTTGGGTATCTCTTGCTTTGCTTAAAGGGGCAGTAGCATCAAGAGTCTGGACGCCTGGCTTACAAGGGAGAAGGCGGTGGCTTTGGGGCACCCCCTGTGGGCTGCAAAGCTTTACCCTCATTTACCCACAGCATTAGGTCATTTTCTCCTTCCAGTCCTGGGAGGTCAGGGCTACTATTCATGCTTTGCAAGGAGGAAGCTGAAGCTTGGAGAGGCTGAACACCTGTCCACAGTCTCAAAACTAAAAGGTGGCAGGGCCAGGATTTCATTTCTTCCCGGGACAGTGGAGGCCTGGAAACAGGATGCTAGAGGATGAGAATGGCAACAGGAGGGCTTGTGGTCACGGTGCAGGTGACGGAGGAGGTGGCCACACTGGAGACTGAAGAAGGGACACCTTCAAGGTGCACCTCAGATGGCACTGACCGGACACGTGGGCACCTGCTTGGTGACATTGGTTAACTGCTTGATGGATTCCATGGCTGGGCACCCTCTCAGTTCCTCCTTCCTCTGTCTCTTCCCTCTGCTCCTAGACTATAGATCTGCCAAGGACAGTGGTTCCCCACAGAGTCCATCCAAGAAGCAGCAGGTGAATTTAGCCCCAGAGCCTCTCAAGATGGACCTGCTGACCGTGCCCGTGGTCGACACCGAGATGGAGGCACGGCCCATGACCCTGGAGGAGACGGACGATGTGGGCGAGGGGTACCGCGAGAAGAAGCAGCAGAGCAAGGTGCCCCCGCCAACAGGGGAGGGATGGGGCTTGGAGACTGGGCAGGCCTGGGTTCAAATCCACTGCCCCTGCATCACCTTCTGGCCTGGGGAGCTCTTAGTAGGGGGCTTCCTTACCTCCCTGTTGCCTCTTCTGTATGTAAGAATGGCACTTACCTCACAAGGTTTCTGTGAAGATAAAACGAGATGATGCATCTGAAAGTATCCCCTTCCTCCAACTCTTTAATTATGACTTCGCATCCTGAGCCCAGGGCTGCATCTTTATCACAGCTGGAATCCAGGAACCTGGCCTGGGGCCTGGCGCTGAGTAGACACTCCAGAAACAATGTGACGAGTGAAGGAAGGGAATAACTGATTACATGAGTTAATTCACCCAATAAATATTTATCGAGAGCCTGTGATGTGTCAGGCACCGTTCTAGGTGCTGCCTAGAACAAAACAGCCCCAGGCCCCAGGAAGCTGAGAGTCTAGTCAGGGAGGCAGACAGTACTAATATAATACTATCAATAAATATTTTCTACTATATACTTTTTTTGTTTCTTTTTGGTTGCTTGGGGTCTTCCTTGCTGCGCATGGGTTTTCTCTAGTTGCAGCGAGTGGGGGCTACTCTTCGTTGCAGTGTGTGGGCTTCTCATTGCGGTGGCTTCTCTTGTTGCGGAGCACAGGCTCTAGGTGCACGGGCTTCAGTAGTTGTGGTGCACGCGGCATGTGGGATCTTTCCGGACCAGGGCTCGAACCCACATCCCCTGAATTGGCAGGTGGATTCTTAACCACTGAGCCACCAGGGAAGTCCCTCTACTATATACTTTTTATAGTATAAATATGTATGTATATATATACATATATAAAATAAAATGTCAGGTATTGGTAAGTGTTATATTGACTAAGATCTGATTAAGTTGCATGATGAGAAAACCCAGAATGTTAGAGCAAGGATCAGCAAACTTTCCCTGTAAAGGCCCAGATAATAAACGTTTTAGGCTTTGCAGACCATGTGGTCTCTGTCACAACAACTCGGCTCTGCCATTGTAGCATGGAAGCAGCCACAGACAACAGCTAAACAGATGAGTATGGCTGTGTGCCAATAAAACTTTATTTATAAAAGCAAGTGATAGGCCAGATTTGACCTATAAGCTATACTTTGCTGATTCTGATTTTATTGTATTTATTTATTTTTGAACAAAAACAAGGAAAATTTTGTTAATAGTTGACTACATCAGAGCAGTGATTCAAGTAGACATCAGAAACTACTTTGGTCTAATTAGAACAAGAGATTTCTATTTTAAAATGCATTCTCGGGGGATGTCCCTGGTGGTCCAGTAGTGAATCCACCTTCCAATGCAGGGGATGTGGGTTTGATCCCTGGTCAGAGAACTAAGATCCCACATGCCACGGGGCAACTAAGCCCGCACGCCACAACTACTGAGCTCACGCGCCTCAGCTAGAGAGCCTGCGTGCCGCAAACGACAGAGCCCACGTGCCCTGGAGCCCATGTGCCACAACTAGGTAGAGAAAACCCACATGCCGCAACTAGAGAGAAGCCCGCGCACTGCCACGAAAGATCCCGCGTGCCCCAGTGAAGATTCCACGTGCTGCAACTAAGACCTGATGCAGCCAAAAAAATAAGAAAAAAAAACCTTAAAAAAATTAACTAAATAAAAAATTCATTCTCGGACTTCCCTGGCGGCCCAGTGGTTAAGACTCCACGCTCCCAATGCAGGGGGCACGGGTTCGATCCCTGGTTGGGGAACTAAGATCCCACATGCCTCGTGGCACGACCAAAAAAAAAATGCATTCTCATACTCAAAATAGCTATTTAATCATTTCTTCATAATATATACTAAGGTAAGCAATGACCTCCATTAACAGCTGATTCTGATTTTAGAAGCTTTAAAAAGATAGACTTTTTCTTTCCTTACAAAGAAATAAGGCCAAAAGTGGCTGTACGCTCCCCAGGCCTCTTCTATACCTTCAATACCTTGCTCTGTCAATACCTATATCTTCAATACCTTGCTCTGTCATCCTTAACACGTGGCTTCCACTTCAAAGTCACAGGTGGCTGCACCTAATTTAAATTCCCACACAGCCAGACAGTTGAATGTAATGTTTCAACAGGACACCTCTAGGGCCTAGTGTATGTATGATACAGTTGTGTGTGCACTTCCGTGTAAGGGGCTGTGCACACAGAACTGCACACGCTGACCATTCAGATGCTCTTCCGGGGATCACCTTGACCACGTGTGATTTTTCCTCCCAAGCCAGACTTCAGAACCTGCATTCTTTGCTGTTGCCCCTCACGGGGGCCCGGGGGGAGAGGTATATGAGGCTCTACGTCTGCCTTGGACCAGGAGGTGAGGAGGGGTGAGTGCCAGCCTCTGCTCTCTCCACAGCTCACCATCCCCTCCATCCAGTACACGGAGCACAGCGGGAACAAGCACTTTGATGAGCACTGCCTCTTGTCCACCATCCACGGGGAGATGGAGGCGGTGATCAACAGGTCGCGCACCAGCACCTTTCTGGTCTACCTGCAGTGCTGGAAGCTCTGCAAATCCTACAGCCTCCCGCTGACCGAAGACGTCCTCATGAGAGGTAAGGGCCTTGGGGCTGGTCCTCCGGAAGGTGCCAAGGGGGCCCACAGCCAGGGCGAGGATGGCGTCCACCTGAGGTCTGTCCTTCTCCAGCTGACACACATCAAAGCACGCCGCTGCGGCCTGTGGTGGGGACATTGCGGGGCCGGGCGGTGGGGGTGGGGGATGTTGGTGGTGGAGGGAGGAACAGCCCCGCCTGGTTCGCTCTTAGATGGGATTTTACAGCCCTGCAGGGCTGCAGGCTTCACAGGCCTGGAGGTCTGGGTTCCCCAGTCTAGAGCAGGAAGCGCCAGGCCAGGAGTTCCAGGTGAGGGAGCCAGAGGTTGGGCACAAAGAAAGGATCCCGATTTCAGAGAGGCAGTCTGGCTGGAAGTGGTAACTGCTATGATGCATTGGGTGCTCCAAACCACTTGTCTAGGCCAGGCCTGTTTCTTGGTGCTTCTACCACACGGAGGGAAGAAGGCACCGGGAGACAGGTTCTGCTGAGGCCCTTTGCTCTCTGCTCAGACCACAGGCCTCCACCCTGAGATTTCCTACTGGTTCTGCCCTCTGCGTGGGGGAAGGATTGTGTTTTCACACATGCAAGCAGAGCTGAACCCTCCACATCTCTGGGTGTGTGCTTCTGAGACATGGGACAGGGGAGTGTCCCCATAACCCCCTGCTGACCATGTAGCAATGCCGGCATCCCACATTTATGAGTTTATTTATTTAATGGGCAGGTCACTGTCTGTGCTTTAAGAACACGGAGTGAGCTGCACTTGAGGGCAGAGGTTTTCCCATAGGACCTCTGCAGGAGGGAGCTGTGGCCATACTGGGCGTGTGGCTTTCTCAAAAAAGGGGGCCCCCAGAGTGTAGTGTGACTTACCTGAGAACAAGAGTTAACAGTCACAATTGATTGTTTCCATCTTTTCCCCCAGATGGAGGGAAACACGTGCTAAATGTACAGGGCCTTGGGTCTTGTATTAGTTTGCTAGAACTGCCATAACAGAATACCACAGACCGGGGGCTTAAACAGCAGAAATGTATTTTCTCACAGTTCTGGAGGCTAGAAGTCCAAGATCAAGGTGCCAGCAGGGTTGGTTTCCTCTGAGGTCTCTCTCCTTCGCCTGCAGATGGCCACCCTCTGGCTGTCTCTTCACATGGTGTTTTCCGTGTACACATGCACCCCTGCTGTCTCTCTGTGTGTCCAGATTTCCTCTTCTAAGGATACCAGTCAGATTGGATTCAGACCCATCCTAACAGCCTCATTTTAGCTTAATCACCTCTTGAAAGGCCCTATTTCCAAATACAAATTCTGAGATTCTGGGAGTTAGGGCTTCAGTATATGAATTTGGGAGGACACAAGTCAGCCCATAACAGGTCTATACAAGGGGAAGTGGCCAAGGGCCTTCAGGAACACAGGCCAACCAGCCTAAACGGTCATTGTCTGCTGCCCACGCTGCCCATCCCTTGCTTGGGCGGCCACTTGCTGCCCGCCTGGGTGGGGAGGGCAGAGACAGTAGGAGACCCCACTGCTCTGGACACCAACTTTTCACCACATCATCGTTCCTTCCTCCTCCCTTGGGGAGCCTTGTCTGCCTGGATCATTTACATCCCCTGGTCTTGGCTAGCGGTGGAGCTGCAGCTGTGTCTTCTAAAATACCAGCATGCTTGCCAGGTACCCGAAGGCTCCTGTGGGCTAGGTCTTTTCCCCGGACGTGCCCCTTTGTCTGTCCCCACCAGAGGATCGAGCCTCTACTGATTCTCTCCACCACTGGCTTTTGCTGGCTCCTGGGTCCGCACACAGGTGAGCTTCACCTGTCTGCAGGATCCCACCACCCATGGGCACACGGGAGCATCTGTGGGTGGGCTTCCTTTTGCTTCTGATTGGTCTAGATGGAAAAGACACTGGTCCATCTCTGACCACTGTCCTGGCCACTATCTGTTGGCTGTCCTTATGACAGAGGCATGATCTGCTGTGGCCCAAGAAGCACAAACACGGGGATTTCCAGGTCTGTGTTCAAGGCTAGAGCTTGTGTTCAAGGTCTCAAGCTTATGGGCCGGAACTCCAGAACATCGAGGCATTTCCCATCCCCACTGAATATAGCTTTATTATTTTTCTCCCCCTGATTTTACAGATAATCCATGCTCACTTATAGTTTTTGAAAACATAAAAATAAAAATCCCCCCAGCCTGAGTTGACCAGCAATAATATTTTAGTGACTGTCCTTTCACAAGGGCAGTCTTTCTTTACTATTTACACAAAATTATTTATGTAAATCATTTTTAAAGTCATATGTGTGTGTGTATATATATATATATATATTTTTTTTTTGCCGTACGCAGGCCTCTCACTGTTGTGGCCTCTCCCATTGCGGAGCACAGGCTCCGGACGCGCAGGCTCAGCGGCCATGGCTCACGGGCCCAGCTGCTCTGCGGCACGTGGGGTCTTCCCGGACTGGGGCACGAACCCGTGTCCCCTGCATCGGCAGGCGGACTCTCAACCACTGCGACACCAGGGAAGCCCCTATATATATATATATATTTTTTTTAAAGTAGTTTTCAAAAATCATTTAAACCTTTAAAAAATGTTGACATGGCACGTCTCCTCCTTCCCTCCCCTCCCTTCTCAGCTCCGCAATCCCTGCCCTCCCCGCCCCAATAACCAGCATTAATAACCTGGAGAATAACCCTCCATCACTGTGTCCAGAACATGAGATGTTTGTGTGTCACCATCTTAGGGCGGAGCCCCAGCCCAGTGCTTCTTACGTTCTTTACGAGGAGAAAACTGCCAGTGACTGGGTCTAGGTTAATCTAGTGAAGTCTTGGGTGAGCCCTCCCGTCCTCCTCCTGGACTTCTGACCAGGGCGCCCCTGCAGAGTGGGGTGTAGGGCAGCGCTCCGTCCTAACTACCCCCAGGTCTCGGGGCCACTGCTGCCCTAGCTGTGAACAGGCACCCTCACCTGTGGTCCTGTGAGCGGTACCGCGCCAGCCGCGCTTCCCGACAGCGTGCTGCAGTGATGCACACACCACCGTAGGGGAGGCTGGGAGAGGGCCTGGGGGACGCTCTGCACTACTGTTTGCAACATGCTGTGAATCTACAGTGATTTAACAATAAAAAATTTTTAATGTATATAAGAAAAATCTTTTCAAACAAAAATGTGAATTTGTTAAAACAGACAAACCCCCCGCTCTGTCCCAAAGCCTCGGTATGGGGAGGGGTCTTGGGCTGACAGGCCGTATTTCTCTTGCTGCTCACAGCCCTGATGTACCCGGGGGACAAGATCATTTTCCAGAAGGACGAGGTGCGTCCAATCCGGCAACCGGGAGGCTACTACTCGGACCTGAAGATCTTCAGTCCGAACCAGGCCCTGCTCCGATCCCAGGGCGTTTCCAAACCTGTGGCTCAGAAGCCTGACAAGCTGAGTGTCGGCCCCCTCCTCCCCTGCCTGCGCTCCTGTCCCACTGCTGCCCCTTTGCTGGGGGGCTGGGGGTCACGTTGTGCCAGTGTCTGTGTCCTAACCTGGCATGTCCAACCCAACTGATCACCATGGACTGGCCATGTGTCCCCGGGCACGTGTCTCTGCAGCCGCCTTGCCTCGTTCCCACGCAGCCACCCTCCTGACCACATCCTATGTGACCTCAAGCTCTCTGGAAAAGGTTAAAAAGAGGGACTTCTTAGAGAAACGGGGCTGGGTGTCAGGGCCCCTGCAAAGGACAGTGATGGCAGCCCCTTCTCTGTCCTGCCTTCTCTGGCAAAAGGTGGGCTTGCAGCCCCCCAGGAGGAGAACAGAACTCTGCACTGGGGCCTCCCCCTGACCCTCAGATCCCAAGTCCTCTCTAAGAAAATGTCCTTCTTTGTCAGGAGGTGACCCGAGGGCAGGCTATGAGCCAGCATCAGTGGTGACTGCAGACTGGAGAACGGCAGCATCCCTGCAGAGTGCGGGAGGAGGGGGCGGGCAGCTGACCAGATACCATGAAGCGGGGAGGGGCCCAAGATGGAACCACACCGTAGGTCACTGCCAGCTGCCTGCTAGGGTAGTCTGGCCAGAACAGCGAGGGTGGGATGCAGCAGAGCCAAGTGGAAATCCAACAGGCCAGCGGTTAAATGGACAAGTTACCTTACTCACTGAGCCTAAGTATGTTCATCTGTAAAATGGGCACAACAGCTATACCACACACAGTGAGGACCAATGAGAAATGCAAGTAAGCTTCTTAGCAGTTAGCACTCGAGCACTGATTGTTGTTGTTGTTTTAGCGTGCCCCGTCACGGCGTTCTCCAGTGCAGGAGTGGGCTAGGTCTGCAGGTGGGGCTGTCCACAGCCCTGGCTGGGAAGAGCTGAGCATGAGCCGGGCAGGTGGTGGCCTAGAGAGTCCTTTCTGATCCCCTAGTGACTGCCTTCCAGCCCCTGAGTGGCTGCCACCAGTTCCTGAGCCATGAACCTAGGGAACCTGAGAAAGTGACTTTTGTCCTGCTTAGGTGGGCCACAGTTATAAAGGATAGATGTCCCACGGGGCAGGGGTGGACTGGTTTCATTGGCTTCTTTGAATGCATTGTGAAAGATTCTGGAGCCAGACGCAGGCTTGCTGGGAAAGTGTGCTGTGGTGATTAGTGATGTCTGCCAGGCCTGAGGTTTGGGGCGTTAGCTTTCACCACCCTTGTCCTCAAGGCTGGATTCAGCTCTGGAAGGCAAGTGGGAGTCAGGGGCCCCAAAAGGACTCAGATTACTGAGCATGTCTCATAACCATCTGGGAGGTGCTGGGAAATGAGAAACCCGAGGCTCCACAAGGGGAGTGACTTGCCCCAAGTCACCCAGCCAGCCAGGCCTTGAGCCCAGGGCTATCATCCTGTCTGCCTGACCAATAGGGGCCCAGAGGTCCAGACACCCCAGCGCACTGTGTGTTCCACTGGAGCATAGGGGACAGAGTCAGGGCCCCACCCAGGTAGAAGAAGTTCTCCTTTCAGAGCTCTGGTCTGGACTCAGAAGTGGACCCCCTGTCACACTGACCTACTCCCCAAAGCCCCACTGACCTGGATTTCCTGTCTCCTGAAAAGATACCTCTCTCTCTCTTCTCCACTAGGAACATGCTGAAGAAAGTCAAGAAAGTCAGCTTTAAGAGGTTTGAGGAATTCACCAGGTCTGTAGTGATCATCTATCTCTGGGAGGGGGGCGGGTAGGAGGAAGGTGCCCAGGACTCGCATGTTGCAGGGTACACGGTAGCACTGCATCTGGGACTCAGTGCCCAAGAGCTGAGGGGCATAAAATGACACTTAGGAGTGCTAGGCAGACACTGCTCTCCAGATGTTAACTCACGTAAATCCTCTCAACAACCCTATAAAGTTACTCTTAGCATTCCCATTTTGCAGAAGAGGAAACTGAGGTACAGGAAGCTTGACTATCTTGCTCAAAGTCACATCTCTATTAAGTGGTGGAGCAGGGATTCGGACCCAGCTGTGCTGGCTCCAGAGGCTGCATTCCGAACAGCACATTAAAACGCCTCTGCAGAGCAGACAGAGCACTTAAGGGTTTGGGTTCAGAGGCAGCAGACTGGCACTCAAGCCTGTGCCCTGCCACTTGCTGGCTTGTGTGGTCTTGGAGAAATAACTCAGCCTCCTTAGGCCTCCGGGTCCTCGCTGGTGAGGCAGATGGCACAACAGAGCCCACCGCACAGCACTGGCGGGAGGGCTGGGTACTAGAGTGCTGAGCACGGTGCTGCACCTCCACTCTGCTCACAGCGGGTGGGCTCCGCTGGGAAGCAGCCCCAGCCGCCACCTGTCTCCGTGACAACCGTCCCGTTGTCTTCTCCTTCTCCAGGAAGCTGAAGGCGAAGAGGCCCAGTGGTCCGCAGCTAACCCATCCCAATTTCTTCTGGCCGGGTCACCTCCTGGACAAGCTGAAGCTCTACCTGCCCACTGTGACCGTGGACCGGAGCCTGGCGCTCTTCAGTCGTGTCCAACACCGGTCCCAGGCCTACTCAGCCACCTACCATCCCGAA